ATTGGTAGATTTGATTACAAAAAAATTAAGAACTTCTCTTAAAAGACAGACATAAAAATATGGTTAAGAGACAGACAAGAGGCCCTGGCCAGTGTGGTTCAGTTGTACCCTACACCAGCTGAGCTCAGTTGGAACATTGTCCCCTACATTAAAAGCCTGGGAGTTTGATTCCAATTAGAGCACATCCCTAGGTTGTGGGTTCGTTTCCTAAAGGGGCACATATGGAAGGCAACCAATAAATGTTTCTGTCTCACGCTGATGTTTCTCTCTCTCTCTCTTTGTCTCTCTCTCAAAAAACAGTAAACATTTTTTAAAAATAAACAGATAAGAGAATGAGCTGATGTTTATAAATATTTTTAAATTTCTGCAAACCTACATGAATAATAAATAAGTACCAATAGAAAACTGGTTACAAAATAATAACATACTGAGAGGAGAAGCCCAAAACATTTTAAAATGACCTGAAGCTATGCTCCATGTCACTGGAAATCAGAAAAACAATGAGATATCACTTTATTACCTATTCTGCAACAATTAGAAAGCCAGGATATGGAAATTCTTTTTATTTTATATTCACCTGAGGATATGCTAACTAATCTGAGAGAGAGGGGAAGGAAAAGAGAGAGAGAGGGAGAGATATATCAACGCAAGAGAGAAACATCAATTGGTTACCTCTCATATGTGAGTGAGAAACATTGATCAGTTGCCTCTTGTTCTTGGTCCAACCAGGGTCTGAACCCTCAACCTACATATATGCTCTGACTGGGAATTGAACCTGTGACCTTCCAGTTTATGAGACAGTGTTCCAACCAACTGAGCCACATTGGCCAGGGCAGCATATAGAAATTCATATGCTCTGCTTGAGAGAATGTACCTAGCCACTAAGTTCATGCCTATCTAATGATGCTACAGTTCCAGAAACCCCTTGGAACTTATTCCAAAGAAATTGTTATGACTGTAATAATGAGACATACATGAAGATATCCATTGCAATACTACTTTTGTAGAGGTGGGAAATTGGAAGCAATCTGAGTATTGCAGGTAGAAAGAATTTTTAAAATGGTTATTGCATACCATGAGTAATGTTTAGCAGTTAGAAGCAATAAATTGTATGTTATAGCTTGAATAGGTCATAAAAGTAAAATGCTAAGGAATGTCAGAGAACATGATTTATAATATACAACCATTTACGGAAGTGAAAATTCATGGACACAAAATGATAAATACATATTTTATAAGAACACATATAAATAAAAATGCACATTAACTCTTTAGAATGGTCACATAAGAGGTAAATGGGAGTGAAAAAATAAAAAAATATATATATTTTAAAAAACAGCAAATGGGCTTTACAAAGACAAGTTATATTAATGTATCATCAAGAGAAGAGTATGAATAACTCAGTGTTCCACTTCTGAAATCAAAATAAGCAAACATTTAGACTTTTATGTGATGGCATCTGTGATTGAAAGACAAAGCGAGATGGCAGCGTAGGTAAACACAGCTCACCTCCTCTCACAACCACATGAAAATTACAACTAAAATGTAGAACAACCATCATTCGGAACTGGCAGAAATCCAATTGAGTCGAAGTCTGACAACTATGGAATTTAAGAAACCATATCCCATCCAGACTGCTAGGAGTAGCAGAACATGGGATGGGCTAGTATCACATACATGTGTGGTGGCTAAAAATTGCGGAAAGATATCTTGGGAGTGAGGAGTTTCAGCCCCACATCATACTCCCCAGCTAGGGTTCCGATGCAAGGAAGATATATTTCCATAACTTCTGACTGCAAAACTCCACGGGGATTGAGTCAGTGGAAGAAACTAATAGTGTCCCAAGAATTTCCCATAAAGCACCCACATGTGAATTTACACAGACACACTCTGTCTGAGCTCCAGTACCACCGGGGTAGCACCTTGAAAGGCACGAGTGACAAAGGGAGGAACTGAAGTGTCTGACATCAAGGCGGGATGTGGGGGACAGCTTTCTTCGCCCAGAAAGGCGGGCAGAGGCCATTGTCAGTTTTCGGAGCCCTCCCCCAACAGAGCCACAGACCCTACAGGTGGGTGCCATCTCTGAGACTCCATCATCCTGGCTAACACTGTTTGCCCCTGGTGAGTTCCTGAGACACTGCCCCACCCACCTCACAGGGCCATCCAAACTGTTAACTGTGACTTTCCCATATGAATGGCTGGAAAAGTCACAGTTAACAGTTGGCTCATGCTTCAAACTTCCTAAATCATATCAAACAAGCAAAAGCTAAGTGGCCCCAGGCCCAGCACTAGCAGCAGCCAGCTTAGATTGCTTTATAGCTCATGCAGGGTGGCCACAGGCAAAACACAGTTGGGGGATGACCTTGGCCTATATCACTCAGGAAATTCCAGAGCCTGTGCATCCAGTGGACAGCCACAGACCATGTCAGAGCACCACCATCCTGCCCCCGCACAGCTGATCCTCCATGGAGGGCAGAGGTTTGTAGTCAGCGGTCACAGCCAGTCCTTGCAGCTGACTGGCCTGGGTAAATCCATCCCATTGACCTGCCAACAGCAATCAAGGCTCAACTACAAGAGGAGGGTGTACACAGCCCGCATGAAGAGTGTACCTCAAGTACTCAGCTTGGATGATAAGGGAGGCTGTGCCACTGGACCCTATAGGACGCCTGGTATATTAGGCCATGCTACCAAGAGAGAGAGCCATAGCAGCTCTACCTAATACATAGAAACAAACTCAGGAAGCCTGCCAAAATGAAGAGACGAAGAACCATAGCTCAAATGAAAGAACAGGTCAAAACTCCAGAAAAAGAACTAAACAAAATGGAGATAAGCAACCTATCAGATGCAGAGTTCAAAACACTGGTTTTAAGGATGTTCAAGGAACTTAGTGAGGACCTCAACAGCATTTAAAAAAAAAATAAACAGAAATGAAGGAAACACTAACTGAAATAAAGATCAATGTACAGGGAAACAACAGTAGAATGGATGAAGCTGAGAATCAAATCAATGATTTGGAACATAAGGGAATAAAAAACAACCTTTCATACCAATAAGAAAAAACAATCTGCAAAAGTGAGAATAGTGTAAGCAGCCTCTGGGACAACTTCAAGCATTCCAACATTTGCATTTTAGGTGTGCCAGAAGGAGAAAAGAAAGAGCAAGAAACGAAATCTCTTTGAAAGAGTAATGAAAGAAAACTTCCCTAATTTACTGAAGGAAATAGACATGCAAGTTTAGGATGCAAAGAGGCCCACTTCAAGACACACCATAATTAAAATGCCAAAGGTTAAAGATAAAGAGAGAATCTTAAAAGCAGTAAGAGAAAAGCAGTTACTTACAGGGGAGTTCCCATAAGACTGTCAACTCATTTCTCAAAAGAAAATTTGCAGTCTAGAAGGGATTGGCAAGAAGTATTCAAAATAATGAAAAGCGTGGACCCACAGCCAAGACTGTTCTACCTGGCAAACTATTTAGAATCAAAGGACAGATAAATAGCTTCCCAGAAAAGAAAAAACTAAAGGAGTTTGTCATCACCAAACTATTACTATATGAAATGTTAAAAAGACTTACTTAAGAAAAAGATCAGAACTATGAACAACAAAATGGCAAAAAAAATACATGTGTATCAATATCTGAATCTAAAAAATGAAGTAAGCACACAAGGACAGAGACGGAATCATGGATACAGAGAGTGTTTTTATGGTGCTATATGGGAGGTGGGTGTGGGGGAATGTGTAAAGAGGAGAGGGGATTAAGAAGTACAACTAGGTAATTACAGAACAGTTGTGAGGATGTAAAGTACAGCATTGGAAATGGAGTAGCCAAAGAACTTGAATGCATGATTCATGGACATGAACTATGGTGTGGGGGCAGTGCATATTTCACTTAGTATGATGTTCTTCAGGTCCATCCATTCTGTTGCAAAAGATAAAATTTCTTCTCTATTACAACTGAGTAGAATTCCATTGTATAAATGCCCCATAGTTGTTTTATCCACTCATCTGCTGATGGACACTTGGGCTACTTCCATAGCTTGGTGATTGTAAATAATACTGCAATGAACACTGGGGTACTTATGTTCTTTGAATTAGTGTTTCGGGTTTCTTTGGATATATTCCCAGAAGTGGCATTGCTGGGTCAAAAGGCAGATCCATTTTTAATTTTTTGAGGTATTTCCATGCTCCTTTCCACAGTAACTGCACCAGTCTGCATTCCCACCAACAGTGCAAAAGGGTTCCCCTTTCTCCACATCCTCACCAGCACTTGTTTGTTAGTTTATTCATGATAGCCATTCTGACAGGTGTGAGATGATACCTTCTTGTGGTTTTAATTTGCATTTTTCTGATGATTAGTGACATTGAGCATCTTGTCATATGTCTATTGGCCATCTGTATGTCCTCTTTGGGGAATTGTCTATACAGGTCTTTTGCCCATTGTTTAATTGGGTTGTTTGTTTTTTCTAGTTACTTTAAAGACTAAGTATTTTATCTCTATTATTTCAACTGTTATTTCTGCCAAATTACCATATTTAATTTCATAGGGTTGGAGTGAGGAATAAACTGTATGCAGTAAACCTGCTTTGTTTTGTAATATAGAGGCATTGTGCAAATGTTATGTAGTCTATATGCAATATTGGAAGAATTGGAAGTTGTCTACAGCAAGCAGAAGCACTATTTCTATTGATTTAATTACAGACATTTTCTAAATCAGGCTCTGGTCTACAGATTTGAGGATGAATGTAGGTCTCTGCTGCAGAATTAAGAACATAGATTTATGTGACAGTAAGTTTCCTTACTAATTCAAGATCTTTTTCACTTCTGGCTTTAGGGTTATTCTCCAAAGAGAAGCTTCCATAAACCTATTTTTCATAATTCTGTATTTTTGCAATGTTGCTTTTGAATGCTGACTCCTGTAAATCCACAGGAGCATAATTTCTACCATGGTTTCAGATCAAGTAAGCATGTCTATTCTAACAACATTACATTTTTTTGTATTTACAGTTTGTCTTGGCTCTTACCGAGCTGGATTATTCACTGCTGCCCGTCAGTCGACTAATGTTTACAGTGACCTAAGGAGCTGTGTCAAAGGTGACCACTTCTACAAACAATTTGAAAACACAACCAAACAAAAACCTGCATGTAAAATACACCCATGAAAAGTTTAAATATTAACAAATGAACCCTTGAAGGTCATGCCCAACAAGGAGTTATTCTCAAATTGCTTTTGAAAGTGTTTTTCTTATGTAAATGCTGCTGTTTTAGTCAAAATGAATTTTCCACCTAATGTTTAAATTGAACAGTGTGCCTTCGTTGACTAAGCTTTAGGACATTGACTTCAGAATTTTATTCCCGACAGCTGTATTTTGGCTATTGTTGCATAATCACGTATGTCCAAATGTTATAGTTGATTAACAGATCAAAATGGAGCCATGTTTATTTTTCTGACTTTTGGTATCAATACATAAATGTGGAAAATGTTATGATACCAAGTTAGTCTTCTCCCTCTGAAGTTCACATAGGGTCTAGTTACATTAATCTGTCTCTGATTTACCAATTTCCCAGTTGAGAGCCAGAGAGGAAAAGGTGAAATTGCAAGATGTAAATTGTGATGTTCATCCAGTGAATATTTTACATATAGCGTGGGCAATATCTACATATCTATCTGTATTTTCTCTAATTTAAAGTTGGTTATACTTACATAGGTAAAACTGTTTGAACACACATATTTAATTCACACTTTGTCCTTTTTTACTTTACCAAAGGACAGGGAAATAATTTAATAACAATTCACCTACTAGTTTTTCTATCATTTTAACTAATACTTAATTTATTACTACTTTTCAAAAAACACTATGAGCTTGTAAGAACTTTTTTTTTAAAAAAAAATTCAGTAATTAAGTTTTAGCTAAGTTAAAAAAATTTTTTTTCTTTGCAAGTAACAACATTTTTTTTTTTTGGCTAACTTAAGCAGAGGTGACTGTATTGGCAGGATGGAAGGAACTCCCAGAGCTGACTAGGGGGGCTTAAGACGCAGGTGTGGAAATGTGTAGGAATGTGAAGGGACTACTGCAGTGTCTGGTGAGGAGAGAGAAACCGCAAATGAGTAAAGAAACAAATGGGTATATCATTTAAGATAGTGATAAAATGCTCTGACATTTTATGATGATTATGTCCTTCCCCTAAGAATCCCAGTACTCTGCTACCTTTGTTTAATGTCTGAAAACCACTGCTTCACATATTTTGACCAGAGTTCTATTTACTTAAGGTAAGGGGATAAATCTGGCCCTTGTTACTCCATTTAACTCAAATTGGAAGTCCACAATGTTTTTTCTACTGATACTGAGAATAGTTTTATTTGTTCTGCTGTCTCATGGAATTATTTTAAGGGACAAATAAGGTAATATATGTGAAAAAATCTAAATTAACAGTTCTAAAATACATACATATTTGTAAATATAAAAGTAGTTTCCTTTTACAAAATAGTTATAAAGATTTGTCCCTTGGATTCACTATTTTATGAAGAAGTATTATTTGAAGGAAGGAGTTACAATTTTTTTTTTGGTTCACGATAGGCTTTATGCACAGGATTTCTATTAAAAAGCATATAATTTATTTTACCATAGCATATGGTAAAAATTAAGTAGATGTCTGTTTCCTTTAGCTATTCCAGACCAGTGTAAACCTCTGCCATGCAATGAAGATGGATATGTGCGCTGCAGAGATGGCGAAGCCACATTCACTTGCATTTGTCGATCGGGTTGGCAAGGACAGAAGTGTGAACTTGGTATGTGTAATAATAAACCCATCTGGTTGATCCAGATTGACCTCCTGGAAGATTTTCTGAAGGCTTTATCACTTTAAAAATAATTTATTTCCCCCTTTTTAGATATAAATGAATGCAAAAATCCCTTAAATATGAACGGAGGTTGCAGTCAGATTTGTGATAATACACCTGGAAGTTACCAATGTTCCTGCAAAACTGGTTTTGTTCTACTTGCAAATAAAAAAGACTGCAAAGGTAAGAGCAAGAAGGTAGAATAAGGAGGTGTTTACCATGTGAGAGCAAAATTCAGTTAGAGAAATTCCCCCAGGAAATTCTTGAAAAACGCTGTTCATAAGCTGTTAAAATAAATATACATTATTACCCACTTTGAAGGCTTGTGATATTATGGGACTGCCTTTTAGTTTATTATTTATAGGGAATTTTATTATTTCTATTTTAGTGTTTTCTTACTGTAATTTATCATTTATAGAGTTTTCTTGTTTTCTTTTTTTTTAAATTAATTTATTTACTTTTTAAATACATTTGTCTCTGCCTTCCCCCCACCTCTTTCCCTTGCCCCCTCCCACCTTCCCTCCCTCAGCTCTTCCCCTTTGGTTTTGTCCATGAGTCCTTGCTGTATGTTCCTTGACTTTTCCCTTCTCTTCCCTTTCCCTGCCCCCACCTTCCCTCTTGTCTCTGCTGATTTCTTTTCCTTTCAGTGTTGCTGGTCATATTTTCCTTGCTTCTTTGCATTGTTGGTTAGGTTCCGCTTATAGGTGAGATCATATGGTATTTGTCTTTCGCCCCCTGGCTTATTTCGCTTAGCATGATGCTCTCCAGTTCCATCCATGCTGTCGCAAAGTTTAGTACTTCTTTTTTTCTTTCTGCTGCATAGTATTCCATTGTGTATATGTACCATAATTTTTTGATCCAGTCATCTACTGATGGGCATTTAGGTTGCTTCCAACACTTGGCTATTGTAAATTGTGCTGCTATGAACATTGGGGTGTATAGGTTCTTTTGTATTGGCGTTTTGGTGTTCTCAGGGTATAGTCCCAACAGGGGAATCGCTGGATCAAAAGGCAGTTCCATTTTCAGCTTTCTGAGGAAATTCCACACTGCTTTCCATAGTGGCTGCACCAGTCTGCATTCCCACCAACAGTGGACTAGGGTTCCCTTTTCTCCACAGCCTCGCCAGCACCTGTTGTTTGTGGATCTGTTTATGATGGCCATTCTGACCGGTGTGAGGTGGTACCTCATGGTGGTTTTGATCTGCATTTCTCTGATGGCTAGTGATGCTGAGCATCCTTTCAAATGCCTCTGGGCCCTCTGTATCTCCTCCTTAGAAAAGCATCTGCCCAGGTCCTTTGCCCATTTTTTGATTGGATCGTTTGTCTTCTTGGAGTAAAGTCGAGTGAGTTCTTTGTGTATCTTGGAGATCAAACCTCTATCTGATGTATCATTAGCAAATATATTTTCCCAAACGGTTGGCTCCCTTTTCATTTTGCTGATGTTTTCTTTGGCCGTGCAGAAGCTTCTTATTTTGATGAGGTCCCACTTGTTTATTCTTTCCTTTATGTCCCTTGCTTTAGGAGACATATCAGTGAAAAAATTGCTGCGTGGGATATCTGAGAGTTTCCTGCCAATGTTCTCCTCTAGGACTTTGATGGTGTTGCGACTTATATTTAAGTCTTTTATCCATCTTGAGTTTACTTTTGTGTATGGTGTCAGCTGATGATCCAATGTCAATTTTTTGCATGTAGCCGTCCAGCTCTCCCAACACCATTTGTTGAAGAGGCTGTTATTGCTCCATTTTATGCTTCTGCCCCCTTTGTCGAATATTAGATGTCCATGGAGACCTGGGCTTATTTCTGGGCTTTCTATTCTGTTCCACTGGTCTATGGGTCTGTTCTTGTGCCAGTACCAGATTGTTTTGAGTATGGTGGCTTTGTAGTAGAGTTTGATGTCCGGTATTGTGATCCCTCCTACTTTGTGTTTCTTTCTCAAAATTGCTGCGGCTATTCGGGGTCGTTTATGGTTCCATATAAATTTTTGAAATGTCTGTTCTATTTCTGTGAAATACGTCATTGGTATCTTAATAGGGATTGCGTTGAATCTATAAATTGCTTTGGGTAGTACGGACATTTTGAGGATATTAATTCTTCCAATCCATGAGCACGGTATATGCTTCCATTTATTTGTGTCTTCCTTAATTTCTTTTTTCAATGTTGTATAGTTTTCTGCATACAGGTCTTTTGTGTCTTTGGTTAAATTTATCCCTGGGTACTTTATCTTTTTTCGTGCTATATCGAATGGTATATTTTTCCTGATTTCTTCTTCTTCTATTGCATTGCTGGTGTACAGAAACGCCTTTGATTTCTGAATGTTGACTTTGTATCCTGCTGTTTTGCCAAATTCACTTATTAGGTTGAGGAGTTTTTTGGTAGAGTCTACAGGGTTCTCTATGTACACTATCATGTCATCTGCAAACAATGATAGTTTTACTTCCTCCTTTCCTATTTGGATGCCTTTTATCTCTTTCTCTTGTCTGACCGCTGTGGCTAGGACTTCCAATACGATGTTGAAAAGAGGCGGTGAGAGCGGACATCCTTGTCGTGTTCCCGATCTTAGTGGGAAAGCTTTCAGTTTTTGCCCGTTGAGTGTGATATTGGCTGTAGGTTTTTCATATATGGCCTTTATTACGTTGAGGAATGCCCCATTTATTCCCATTTTGCTGAGTGTTTTGATCATAAATGGGTGCTGTACCTTGTCAAATGCTTTTTCTGCATCTATCGAGATGATCATGTGGTTTTTGTCTTTTCTTTGATTTATGTGGTGTATCACGTTTACTGATTTGCGTATATTGAACCATCCCTGCGTCCCTGGGATGAATCCCACTTGATGGTGATGGATAATCTTTTGAATGTATTACTGGATGCGGTTTGCCAATATTTTGTTGAGGATTTTAGCATCTATGTTCATCAGCGAAATTGGCCTGTAGTTTTCTTTCTTTGTAGGGTCTTTATCTGGTTTTGGGATCAGGGTGATCCTGGCCTCATAGAAGGAGTCTGGGAGTCTTCCCTCCTCTTGGATTTTTTGGAATAGTCTGAGAAGGACAGGGGTTAGCTCTTCCTTAAATGTTTTGTAAAATTCTCCTGGGAAACCGTCTGGCCCTGGGCTTTTGTGTGCTGGGAGTTTCTTGATTACTGCTTCAATTACCCCAGCTGTTATCGGTCTGTTCAAGGTTTCTGTTTCTTCCTCCTTCAGTGTTGGACGATTATACTTTTCTAAAAATTTGTCCATTTCATCAAGATTTTCAAATTTCTTGGCATATAATCGTTCATAGTAGTTTCTTACAATCCTTTGTATTTCTGTGGTATCAGTTGTTATTTCTCCTCTTTCATTTCTGCTATTATTAATTTGGGTCCTCTCCCTTTTTTTCTTGATGAGTCTGCTTAAAGGCTTGTCAACTTTATTAATCTTTTCAAAGAACCAGCTTCTGGATTGGTTGATCCTCTGAATTGTTCTTTTTGTCTCTATGTCATTCAGTTCTGCTCTAATCTTGACTATTTCCTTCCTTCTACTTGCTCTGGGATTTATTTGTTGTTGTCTCTCCAGTTCTTGAAGTTGTAGTGTTAGGTCTTTTATTTGAAATGTTTCTATCTTTTTAAGGTAAGCCTGTATTGCTATGAATTTCCCTCTCAGGACCGCCTTTGCTGTGTCCCATAGGTTTTGGACAGTTGTCTGTTCATTTTCATTTGTTTCCAGAAATTTTTTGATTTCTTCTCTTATCTCATTATTGACCCATTCATTGTTTAATAGTGTACTGTTCAGTCTCCATGAGTTTGCAAGTTTTTGAAGTTTCTCTTTGAGTTTGATTTCGAGTTTCAAGCCCTTGTGGTCTGAGAAAAAGTTTGGTATTATTTCAATTTTCCTGAATTTACTGAGGCTTGCTTTGTGTCCTATCATGTGGTCCATCTTTGAAAAACTGCCATGAGCATTTGAGAAGAATGTGTATTTTTCTTCTTTGGGATGTAAGGTTCTATATATGTCAGTTAAGTCTCTTTGATTCAGTGTGTCATTCAGCGCCACGATATGTTTATTAATGTTTTGTTTGGAAGATCTGTGCATTTTTGACAGTGGGGTGTTGAAATCCCCTACTATCAGTGTGTTGCTGTCTATATATTTTTTGAAGTCATCCAACAATTTCCTTATAAACTTGGGGGCTCCTATATTGGGAGCATATAAGTTTACAATGTTGATGTCTTCTTGATAGATTCTTCCTTTAAGTATGATAAAGTGCCCCTCTGGGTCTCTCTTTATGGCCTTTGCTTTGAAATCTACTTTGTCTGATACAAGTATGGCAACGCCAGCCTTTTTCTCATGTCCATTTGCTTGGATTATTTTCCATCCCTTTACTTTCAATCTGTGTAGGTCTTTTGCTCTGAGGTGGGTCTCTTGCAGGCAGCATATGTGTGGGTCATGTTTTCTTATCCATTCAGCTACCCTGTGTCTTTTGATTGGGGCATTTAGTCCATTCACATTGAGAGATATTACTGATAGGAACTTACTCATCTTTTCTCTTTGTACTTGTGTTCCTCTCTGTCTCATTCTTTTCCTTCATCTGCTTAAACCAGTCCCCTTAGCATATCTTGGAGTGCTGGTTTGGTAGAGATGTATTCTTTTAGCTTTCTTTTGTCTGGGAAACTCCGTATTTCTCCTTCTATTTTAATGGAGAGCCTAGCTGGGTAGAGCAGCCTTGGCTGTAGGCCCTTGCTTTTCATGGCTTGGAATATTTGTTGCCATTCCCTTCTGGCTTGTAGTGTTTCTGTTGAGACGTCAGCTCCTAGGCGTATCGGGGCCCCCTTGTATGTTACTTTCTCCTTCTCCCTTGCTGCCTTGAGGATTCTCTCTTTGTCTTTGACATTTGCCATTTTAATGATGATGTGTCTTGGAGTGGACCTCCTTGGGTCCCTCTTGAGTGGGGCCCTCTGTGCCTCCTGGATCCATGAGAGCCTTTCTCTCCTCAAATTAGGGAAATTTTCCATCATTACTTTTTCGAGGAGGTTCTCTATTCCTTGCTCCTCTTCTTCTCCTTCTGGTATCCCTATTATGTGGATATTATTGCGTTTCAGGTTGTCCTGCATTTCCCTAAATGCTTCTTCATTCTTTTTGAGTCTTTTTTCCATTTCTTGTTCTTTCTGGGAGCTTTTTTCTACCTTGTCCTCCATCTCACTGATTCGATCCTCGGCTTC